GAAAACTCACACAGTCCACATGACTGGATGTGACGTCGACTTCTGTTTACACTCAGTTCGTCATAGAGCACTTTTATAACAGGAAAGGAACAATGAACAGAGCCTATAAAACTGCACTCATGCTGGTCTTTATATCATTGTGAATTTATTCATGGAAATTAGAAGATTTAAACCAATTAGGAACTTACTGTGTGCTGTCAAATCGAGTCTTTAAGCCCTCATGGCAGTTTTCATAAGAGCTAGTGCTGTATCCTTTCAATTTCCAAAGACATTTTGGCCAATAATCTCGTTCAGAAAAAGAAGTCTTCTCAGCTTGACAACATTGTTTAGAACTAGTAATAAAAAGTAATAAAGTAATGCACTTATTCACATCACTTATTCATCAGCAACAGTGTTTCACTTTCAAGCAGAAACGTTCTTGTTTTGCTGCTTTCCTTCATCGTTTGCGAAGTTAACGTGTGGTTGTAGACTTGACTAGACAACACAAATAGATGTGACATTATAGTAGGTTAGTGTGTAATATGCTTCATAATTTTTGGAATTTAAGTCAAGTTAAAAGTCAATTAATTGAGAAAATCATTCAAATATTTTTTGGGAAAATTGAAAATAATTAGTTTCCACACTATGTACACCATTTAAAATCACAGAGTGACAACAACGTGTTTGTATCTGTTACCTATAATAACGACAACACCTCAAGTCAGCCCTACATGTCTGCCATACATCACAGTATCAGTTTATTATTGTAGGGTCTTTACCATACAATATATAGTGCCTTGAGACAACTGGTGCTGTGATTTGGTGCGATAAGAATAGAGCTGAATTGAACTGAAGACTGTCCTTTAGAAGGAAAAGAGCAGCAAGTAAGTATAAATGTTTGTCCATTTCTGGCTGCTTCACGGGGCAGTAGCAGTTTAAGCTACCTAAACTACCAGACCTCCCAGACCTCCCTGTCCCTAGCCACCTTCTTCAGCTCTTCTTCAGGGGCACCACTGTCCGAAGCCTGGGTCCTGGCTCTACTCTGAGGTCTCCTTCTATTTGGTCATACCCAAAACACCTTAATTTGCTCTTTTCCATGTGGAGGAGTAGAACCTCTACTGTGAACCTCTGAGAATCCCTCCATGAATCACGCCTTTATTGTGTTAAAGGAGCTTTGGTGATGCCAGCAGGTGTCACTTTGCCCCTGGTAGAGTCTCCCAAGGCAGATTGGTCCCGGGTGAGGGGCTGGCCTAAGGTTGATTTAGAGTCAAAGTGACCTCTGAAACAATGGACCATGTTTATCAGGCCTACCCTGGATCCAGGCGTGGGTCAGGTGCTGGTTGGCGAGCCTCTGGGGCCCTCAGCCTGAATGAGCCACATAGGCCAGCCCTCCCGTGGATTGTTCAGCCGCAGTGTGGATCAGGAGGTAGTGAAAGGCAGAGGGCTTAAAACCGGCTCCCGGGACATGTTTCACATGTCTTTGTTTATTTGTTTGTTTATAATTCAGTTTTAATCAGTTATTAAGGTTTCCTGATGAGCTTTCCCTCGCTGTCTCCCAGTGAGTCTTTTCCTGTTTCAATACGGTAGGTTCTGTTCATTTGATTAACACCAAGAGTGATGGAGCAGTGAGTGTGGTCACAGTCATAGAGTCTGAAAAATATCAATATCCAGCAGTAGGTTATTGATAACATGGCAGTTTAGCCCCATTATTACACCTACCCATGGAAAGAATGACAAAAATATGTTCGAAAGTCAGTCAAGTTTAATGTGTTGCTCTTCAAATGTTGTAGTTCTTTTTTAGCATTTTAACTTCACTGTCAGATGTTCTTTGGCATATTGTTAATACATCACATAACACAGAAAATTACATTATAATCAATCCGAAAATCTTTCAGTACATCAAGAAAAAGAGTGGTTAATCATCACTTTTAGTTTAAGGTTGTAAAAGTATCTTTAAAAATCTCATATAGGTGTGCAGCTGTAAATTCACACAGCACCATAAACACTGGACAATTATGAGCCATTAATTTGTTTGAATGTGTTAGTTTCAAAGACCCACACAGATAAAGTGTCGACTGGCTCATGAACTCCCTGACCTCAGATTTTCCCGTCTCCAGCTGTGCACACACCATCCTCTCTGCTCTCTGCAGATGTGGAAAGCAAGCAACAAGTCCTCTTTGCAACCAAAATGTGACGAAGGATTTCACAGTGCAAAAGCATTTCAGTTTTGTTTTGTGTTGTTTTTTTTTGTTTTTTTTTAACTTGCCTCTGAAGTGTTAAAAGCAACCAGCTGAAATTGCCATTTTCACCTGTGGTGCCTGGCCTTGAACGAGGCCTTTGTGGCGTATTTCTTCCAGGTCCATAATACCCAACCTTTATTTCACACATTTGTGCCAGCACGCCGCTTTTCCCTCGCTTCCTCTCCCCTCCCTTGTTTTCTCAGCCTCCTTTTCTTTTCTTCCCTCCAGCCTCACTGCGTCTGGAAGCTGCTGAAGAGCTGAATGGTCAGAGCCAAGATGAAGTCATCGTGTCTTTATATCATTATATTCTCCTTTTACCTTTTTTAGTCACAGAAAACCCATAAGGGTGGGGCGCCGGGGCATAGATTGGCTGTCGATGGGAACAACACACACACACACACACACACACACACACACACCCTTTAACCCTGCTATGTGCCCACTCTTGCTCCTCCAGCAGGCCCAGTCCTTTCCATCCCAGTTCCCTCACTGTTTCCATGACACAGCTTCTTTAAATGGGCACAGTCACATTTTTTGGAGGGAGGGGGGGCGGGATGGTGTTTAAGGTGATGCTGACATTCGGTGGATAGTACTCCACTTTATGGTTACTCAGGAAATAATCATTGCTTGTGTGGTGCAATATGTCTATGTGGGGAAAAAAATCTTTGAAGGTTCACCAGCTTTCATTTGGAAAATGCTGGTTTGCCACCTTCCCTTCATAGCCAACAGAAGACAACAAAGACTACCTGTGCTGTCTAAACCCGCCCCTTAATAAACCAGTGCTCAGCCTGTTTTCTAAGAGTGTAAATTAGGTTATTTATTGCAGCTACAACTGTCCAGTTGCAGGTTTTTGAGGAACTGCTCATCCAAACATGAATGAGTGATTTGAATCATTTGACACAGGAAACCAAAGACATAATGCAATATCATGTTTGAGTTGAGAGGTTTCGTGTTAGAAATAGGCTCGGGCTCCACATTTAATTCGGTTCAATTTGCACTTGGCGGCAGCAGGAAGAAAAAACTCCCTTTTAACAGGAAGAACCTCCGACAGGAGCAGACTCAGGGAGGGGCGGGGCATCTGCTGCGACTGGTTGAAGTTCAGGGAACTGAGAGAAAAGACACACTATTATAATCACTAAACTTAGGGGTAAGAGGTTGAATCCAAACAATCCAAATCATTGATAGTTTGTCCCCTTTATAACTATTGTGTGCTGGGATGATGTAAAGTTAATGGTGTGGCGGCTGTAATTAACTGGTGGGCTGCCCAACTGCAATAGTTGGAACTGGAGCATTTGTTTAGGTGGCTTGCTAGTTGGCACAGACCTTAAAGAGGTTTGTGCTTCTGTTTTTGTGGTAGTTCATTTATTAGCACCCACACAGTCAACTTAGAATCATGCAAATGCAACAACTTAGCAAAATGCTAACATTAAGGCTTCAACCTGTATAAAGTCGCCGCGTCCATCTTTTATATACAGTCCCTGGTTTGTGTGTCATCTCTCCACACATGTTGGAGCAGAAACACAAAGTGTTTTTACCCAAAATATGACAGTGGGCCTCATGGCACTGCACATACTCACTCACGTCCTCAGCAACACACCCAGCAAGTTTGGCAGAGTGTCGATCAGAAAGGTCGTGAATCCGCCTAAAAGTTTTTCTAATTGATTTCAGGGGGGTTTTCTCCCAAGCGGAGCTTTTTATGGCTAAATAGCAGCGTTTTTATTTACAGCAGCACCACAACATGTTGTCATGAGAATGAGGAGCACTCTGCTTGGTGGTGCAGGGAATGTTGTTGAAGCTGCTTGCGACACACCTAAATCGTCCCTTTTGATAAAAATCTTCTGCTAACTCCTAACAAGCATCTTTTCAGCTGCTTTTCCACTCATGCTAATATATTCCTGTGTGTGTGTGTGTGTGTGTGTGTGTTCCCCCATAAGAACATACACTGACTGACTGTTTGTCATGGACAAACTTTCCACACCATGGCGCACACATGTTCTTTTTTTTTTTTTTTCATTTTCAGTGTGTATGTGTGTGTGAGTACAGGCTGAGTAAACCCCACAGTGGTTTCCAGGCCCAGGGTGAATAAAGGTGCCTTTTGTCAGGCGTGGGGTGGGTGGGGGCCAGGGAGGTGGGTGGTGTCCAGTCTGGAACAAGCATGAATGTTCCCTCAGTTCCCTCAGACATCGCACTTCCCTGCCTACTTTCACAGCAGCGCTAGAAGAGAGCGAGAGAAAGGAGGCGGTGGTGGAGGAGGAGGACCTCTGGGTGGGGTAGGGAGGAGGTGAGCGGGAAGCTGGTGGGGGGGTGGGGCTTGCATCCAGCCAGTGAGCTCATTGGAACAGCGTTGTTGTTTTATCCTCCTACCGAGCGTGTAGTTTTTGGAAGGCATACGAGCCGCCGGCCGGCCAGCTCTCTCAGTCGCCCCTCAGTGCTGAGGCAGAGAGGAGCTACCCCACTACCCCGTCCTCATCCACCTTTTCTCCCCATAACCCACACATACACCCTCACTTAGCCACAGATATCGCTGAGGGAGGGAGGTCGAGCAGAGACTTGGTCGCGACAGTTAGGAGCACCTGTATGAGTTTTTCTCAGTTTTTCTTCACCCACCTGAGCTCTGATTGGTTTATTCACAACATGTTGTGTGTTTTTGTTTTCCACAACTTTTTTGCGATGGTGGCGACGAGGACCGAGAGAAAACCGGAGCAAAAGCAAGCTATGAGAGGAGACACTTAAAGGTGTCCTAACCGGATTTGTTTTCTCTCTGTGTTCCCCCCCCCTCAGCCATCCGGTGCTCCGGTGGAAAATGACCCTCTGGGCCCGCTGCCTCCTGGATGGGGTGAGTTCATCTAACGCACGCACACATGCACACACTTCTGCGACTGTTAACAAACTCCAGGCAAAGACGAGAATATTCTAAAATCGTCTCCAGGTGTGCTAGATTTACAGCCTGTTTGAAAAGAGTGATTCTGCCTCCCTCACCGGTCCTGCAGGTAGGTTTGGCGACACTCAAACTACCTGACGTGAACCTTCGATTTAATGGTTCAAAATGCACTTTCCTTATGTGCGTGCAGCTGTTAGGTGGAGGTGTTGGAAAACAGTTGCTGCACGGTGAAATTTTCCCTCCCTTTTACAGATCTCAAAGCACATTTTTGGAGATTTCAAACCTTTCTTCTGGTTCTGTGGCTATTACATTTGTCCTGAATCACTGACCTGTGAGCCAGCCAACTGTTAATTGATTGATAAATCCCTCCACTGATGGTGATTTTCATTCCCGTGTAGAAAAGCTGGATAAAGTGTCTCATGGTTTCTTTTCAGCGCTCTACTCATTTATCACTGTACGCTTTCCTTTTGCTCTGAAATCCACAAATTACAGAGGGCTGCGTTATTGATGGGGCTCTTCATCATCCACCGCTGCCCCAAAAGAGCAATGTAACCGGAGCCACGGCGAATTGTCCCCCGCACATTCATTCATAAACGAACGCTGCTGGCGGCTCCCGGTCCGCCAACATTTTCACAGACTTCATCACAGCCGTGTTCTCTCCAAAAATAAAAAATAAAAACCCCCAGCTTTCTGCCCGTGATGCCTTTTCAACATGTTGCGGTACCTCAAAACCTCAATTACATCGCTGGCTCTGATTTGCTTCTCGGGTGCGCTTTTTTTTTTTTTTTTTTCTTCATCTGCGGTTGCTCCGATTTGAAAAAGAGAAAGATGGGAGATGGAGGAGAAAAGAAGGGAAAGTGGCAAGTGGGGTGGTTATAGTAAAGTGGGGGGTGGAGTGAGTAGGAGTTGCAATGCGAGCACTACTGTTTCTGAACCCTCCACACACTCCTGTTAATGAGAAAAAGATGTCAGACCAGCGGCGGGAGGAGGAGGATGGGGCACCAGTGTACACTCTCTGCTGTATGTCTGTGGTCACTCTGACACACACACACACACACACATATTTTGCTTTACCCCGGTGAGGTATTTGGATCACCCCACAGCGAAATGCCACAAAGACTCGCTGCTTTTCTCTCATAGCGGCGAGATTTTTTTCTTCTTCTCCTCTCGGTCAGGTGATCCCTCTGATCCCGTCGAGTGTGGAGTTTTCCAAGAACCTCTGAGCCCACTGAGCATGCTCCTTCTGCCCCATTTGTCTCCACAGAGAAGCGTCAGGACAATGGCAGGGTGTATTTCGTCAACCACAACACACGGACGACGCAGTGGGATGATCCTCGGACCCAAGGGTGAGACAGCGAGCTGGAAAATATCTCTGTGTGCGTGCATGTGTTGGCCTGCTTGTTAGGTGGCGTGCCGCTTTGGGTGTTTGCTCATACTCAAGACGTGGTAGTCATGCACAGTTTAGTATGACAACACAGTGACTCATCTACATTATGATATAAACACGAGTAGAGTATTATCCCCGAGAGGAACATTTATTTCACAGCCTGACATAAGTTAAAAAAAAGCAGCTTTACCTCACATTATGTTGGACACAGGTCTGATGCGCTGTTGGTCATCTCGCTCACTTTCCTGATTTTCCTCTCGTCTCACCCATACTAGTTGACCCGCTGACATTTCAGAGTTTGAGCCTTCTTTGCATCTTCTTCTGGAGATTCAGTTGCTCTCCTCGGTGTGTTAGATACACCTTTGTTGCCATTCTAGATCTTTTCTAGAACCTAAAAGCATGATTTTCTTCTTGTAAATTATTCATTTTTTAGCATGCAGCCAACTGATTATTTTCCCCTTCCCCTTTTATAGAGTCTTTGATTCAAATTTTCAGGCTAGCCAAGCAAAGCAAAAACACGTTAAAAAGACGTTTACGAAAAGGTGAAAAGCTGTGTTGTTCTTCTTAATTTTCATCCAAATTGGTTTGAAAAGTGAAAAACGCTGTTCCCCCTCTGCATTTCTGCAAATTCCTCGGACAACAGACAGATTTAAAAGCAGGCACTTCTTAGTAAGTAAAGTTTATTTATGTAGCACTTTTTAAGACAGGAATCTATTACAAAGCTGTATTAGCATCGTCACCTCTTACTGTGAGGTGGTGATGCCACTGTGTTAGCCTAGCATCCGGGAACACGATAGAAAGGAAACAGATTCACAGGCAGATCAGGGCGACTGCTATGGAATTTATTGTGATTAAAAAATATAGAGCATGTAAGAAAAGAAAAAAAAAAGTGGCCATAATGCGTTGGAGTGCATGGATTTGGTGAGAGACTCAGTCAGAACTACACAAAAGCATACAAAAAGAACAATTACTCAGATTAATATCACACTGCTGACACCATTTATACATCCGTATTTAATTTTAAATGATCAGGTTTTCCGTCAGTATCGTTGCACTCCTTAATAAGTGTGTGTGTGTCTGTGTAAAGTTGAAACCATTTCACAACTAAATAAAAGATCAATCAAATATCGCATTGAACAAATAAAAAAATACACTTTGTATTTTTTAAACACGGGGTGCTAAACTTTAACCTAAACACAACCTTGACCGTGACAAAAGTTTAGAGTTTTAGACCTCGGATCAACACAGTAGGTTTAAATAGAGCGACTAAAGCATCAGGGAAAGAAAACTTGCTTTTCACCTTAAAGCCAAACATGCTGCTTCTGTGTCCTCTAAGCGTTCTTCTGGTTTGAAGCCACCTGAATAATCAAACCTACCATTGCCATGCTCATAGGAGGTAAACTCCACTGTGGCACACCGGCGCAGGCTTTCTGGTTTTAGCACGAGTTGGCAGGGGAAGGTATGTCAGTTTCATCCCCCGAGACGGGGCCCCTCGAGCCGGGACCGCGCTCACTGCCCTCTCCCCTGTTGCAGGATGATCAAGGAGCACCCCCTGCCCCCGGGCTGGGAGATGAAGTACACCGCCGAGGGAGTCCGATATTTCGTGGACCACAACTCGCGCACCACCACCTTTAAAGACCCTCGACCTGGGTTTGAGTCAGGGTAAATATTCTCTCAGCCCTTTCCTCCCAAAGCTGTCACAGGCCGAGGCAAAGACTTCCTAATTAAATGATCATTCGACACTTTCTCCAAAATATTTAAGTGATTTTTGCCTCGGCCTGACATAACTGCATTGAAAATATTAAGTCACACAAGCCGCTCGTTTGGTGAAAACCTGAAAATAATCTTTTTTCTAAACTCCCATCATCTTTGCTGTTCCTTTTTATCCATTACCTTTCCTTTCTCTCCTGTTTTGAATATTTCTTTGAGTCAGAGAGAATCAGTGTCACAGAGGATCTCAGAAAAGACACACACACACACACACACACACTGCTCTTCCCCTCAGCCTGTGAGTGTTTGCTTTGCCTTGAAGCAGTCTCAAATCCCAGAATGTGCAGATGTGCGACAACACATCCACTGCAGACTGCGCTGGCATCTGTGTGGGTGTTTGTGCTTTTCTGTGTTTTTGCATGCAAGTGTGTATTTGCTTGTGTGGTCAGTGCTGAAGACGTGTGTGTGTGTGTGTGTGTGTGTGTGTGTGTGTGTGTGTGTGTGTGTGTGTGTGTGTGTGTGTGTGTGTGTGTGTGTGTGTGTGTGTGTGTGTGCATCGGCGAGCTGCTTTTCATGCAGATATTTGCACGTATTTTTAGGCTGCTATTTCACAGAGGCCTCCTTCACTGTTTTCTTACACTGGATCCTGCAGGAGTGTGCGTCCGCGGCCAGTGCTCTGCTGCTGCGGTCGCCATTTCCTAACCCAAACCGAGATGTGCCTGGCAGCTCGGCAAGCACAGACCCGAAGCATTAGAGGCCTCCTTCTTCTTCACTCCCCCCCAAATCATCTGTCTAACTCTACTTCTGCTTCTCAGCCTCTGTGCTGCTGACAAGGCAGATATCCACTGTGTGTGCGTGTGCGCATACAGTGGGTTGGTGGAGCTTATACTAACACAGCTGCGGGGCCAGGCTCACCTCTGTCTTTGCGACTCAGACACTCGAGGGCTGTAGAGCTGATGCAAATTAAGTATTCCTCAAAAGAGGACGCCAAATTTCTGTTGGTCAGCTGACCTTTAGAGTTCTGTTGAAACTTGTAAAATTGACCAACTTTCTCTGTTTTCTGTGTGTGTGTGTCTGTGTGTGTGCGCGTGCAGGTCACGGCAGGGCGGTTCACCAGGCGCTTACGACCGCAGCTTCAGGTGGAAATACCACCAGTTCCGTTTCCTGTGCCATGTAAGTGTTAAATAGACTCTGTAGCCACAATAAAACTCCCCACTTTGCTCACCTTGATTATTGCAGTCTGGATCTGTTCACCCAGAGAAGGAAAAAAAAGCATAATTCACTCTAAGACTGGAAAAGTGTGGCCAAAAAATATATTTTCAGTTTTCTGGACGACTTGGTTTTCAGGCAGTTATTTCCTCTCTACATAAACTCAAGACAAAACATCACTTTCTTTATTAAAACTGCACACCTTTCCTCACGAGCTACAGCAGTATAGGGCCAAACTAGAGAGAAACTATGGTTTTACACATCACAAGCATTATTGCATAGACCGTTTAGACTGATTGGGAGTTGAAGGCTACATCTGCTTGTGCACATTCTAATACTGTAGAAAGAAAACCTGTGAGATCCTGATAATAAGGGAAAAATGTCAGTTTGTGGCGTTAGAGTGCTGCCACTTTCAGTCATTACCGTCATAGAAGCGCAGCTGTTTACTGGTGCAAGCCTTTGAACAGGAGAACAGAGTGCACGTTCAGAATTGGAGAGTATTTCAAAAACGGCAAGATTTTTTTGGTTTTAGCCTCATATAAAATCTTCGAGTCTTTGACATTCTTAACGCAAAGTTGGACTTTCAGGAGGCTTTTATTTTGTAGTAGATACGGCTTTAGGAGCATTCACATGTTAGCGGCATGTGAACCAAACCAAACTGATTGGCAAGCGCTTTATATCTGTCAAGTGACATTTCCACTGTGACTGAACTCAGACTGAGCTAAGCTAAGCCACATGATGTCATTGTGGTTACGGGGAGGTCTTAGAGGGGGAGGCATCCATGGATCCACAGACAGCTTCAGATACAGTCTCGAAAAAAGAGAAAATCTCAGGTTGCATATGTAGGCATCGTTACCAGTTTGTTTATACTTATGGTGTCTGGAAAAATCTTATTACTAGCTTCTATTTAAGCCCCCTGGATGAACTGGAGTTAGTTGGTATGCTCCAGCATCAAGCTCTTCCCATCTGTCCTGTCAGTCTTCATTTAATCTCAGTGTTCTGATTCATACTCAAGAAGATTTGATGAAGATGCCATAGCTTTATTTTAAATGTATTTGCCATTTTGTTAAAAATCTTTAAAAGTTGAACTATGTGTGTCTGTGAGCCATAGTGTTCTTCACTTTTTGCCGCTTTTTATCCTCCGTATACTTCACACCCAGCAGTCTGAGACTAAAAAGAGAAACATCAGTAATGAGATGGTACAGATCAAGCAGTGACGTGCTCTGTAAACGCTGTACCTGTTTTAAATGCTGACACATGTGAATTGTAGAAAGGGATTAGGATTGGGATTACAGAAATATCCTGAGGTTTTCTTCTCGCCTTGATGGTGGTGTTCTTTTTTTTCTTTTTGAAATGTGCAGTCTAATGCCTTACCCAGCCACGTGAAGATCTCTGTGTCCAGACAGACGCTGTTTGAAGACTCGTTTCAGCAGGTCAGAGACGGATGAAACACACTTGTTATTTTTTTTTTGTTCTTCTAGTTTACATAATGGTAACATTTAATAACTACATCTTATCTTATCTCTGCTTTGCATTGGTGCTTTATGTTATATAGAAAAACACTGTGATAAGGAATAAAGGGTTTCTGTGTGGTGAATTTTTTGAGGGCTTTTAATTTGAAAGAGCTTCTTGTATCAGGAGAATCATTTAGTTACTTTAGAAGCGAGTCTAGGAATGGCTGAAAGTGAGGCCACTTCTTGGACACCATCAACGTCTAAATAACGTGCTTTGTCATCAGATCATGAACGTGAAGCCATACGATCTTCGTCGCCGGCTCTACATCATTATGAGAGGGGAGGAGGGGCTGGACTACGGTGGCATCGCCAGGTGAGAGCAGCCTAAAACTCTTTCCTGCAGCTTCTCTTTACATCTTCAAATTCTGTCATTTTATATGGGTTTGTTAAGCTTGTTATGTAATCCAGGGGTTTTTAACGTTGGTGATGGTGTATTTCGTCTGTTCCTGCTGCTTCTCAATCTTTGCACCAGCTTCCTGTTGGGTAAAAAAGCAACGGAAAAACCAGTGGTGTTTAAATGACTGCTTTTCAAAACTTGCGATTCTCTGAAAATCTTTGTTTTCTGCATTGTTCTTCCCCCAGCTTCATTGTTTTATTTTAAAAATTGTCCTCTACAATCTTTTTGTAAGTAAAGTGAGAAAGAAATTTTGTTTTTAAGGTCAATTTCCTGCAAGATAGGGCATCGTTACAGTTTCCATCCTGACCCTGATGGTGGTAGCGTTGTCACCGTTATGATGCCTAAACCTAGACACAGTGATACCGATGTGTGTCTTTCCAGCCTGTAGATGCAGTAACACAATGGCGCAGATTTTAATCTGTTGTTTTTGTCTGAAATTGTCATTTTGATATAAAACTGCCTTTTCTGCCTTCTAGAAGTGCAGACGTGTGTGATAGTGTTGGGTTACTTGTTGCTCTCTCTCTCACCCTCTCACAACATTGCTGTCCTCCTCCATCTCTCCATCCGTCCATCACACGTGTCCATGCTGCCCGCTGCGTCTGCTGTCACTCAGGTCTTCCTCTCTGTACATGTTGTTATTTTTCCTCATTTTGTTCTCTTTGGTTTTGCATTGTGTCTCTGTCTCCGGTGTCACGTCAGTGGTTTTACCCTATGGTAGGTGACATCATGCTGTTCTACCACAGGGTAGAACCACGGACGGGATGTTGGGAGGTGTCTGCGTCCGTCAGTCCATACACCCTCCTCCCTAATATTCCCAAAGGGGAGAGGGCAGGGGCCTTGGGAGTGCTTGGTTCTGGTGCTGCAGCTGGTGGAGGGGGCCCTCATTCTCTCTAACGTGCATCCTTCCACAGTCTGTTTGTGTCTTTTTATTTAGTTCTACCTGGCTGTATTTATCCTAAATGTTATATGTTTTGTCTCCATGTAATTCATGTGTCAGATTTGGCTTGTAGGATGTGTTTATAACTATAAATGTACTTTCTATTCCCATCTAAACCACTTCAGAGTCATAAGAAATATCTTCTTTTTCAGTTAAAAGAATTGATTTAGATTAATAACTGGTCAGCGAGATCCATTATCAGAAATGAACATCATCTTAAGGATCAGCAGAATAAAGAGAATTAAACCCAACCTTATTTGGTCTTCTATTTGATTTACACGAGGCATCGATGAGCTTAAAGAAATCATCGTGTCTACAGGACATCAGTATTAAGCCGTGCCAGTGGACTTTATGTTTGGCAGTAATTTTAGAGTTGAGCTTGGCAACACCTTGTAATTGGTTCCTGTCTTTTTGACAAGAAGATTAAAAGCAGCAAATGAGTGAAAAATGAAGACGCTGGAAGTTTAGGATGATAAATGTCGTAATTATATGCTGCCAATGAAAAAAAGCACCTCGTTCTCGTGTGGGAGAAATGCTTTTTCATTTTCCTGCTTTTCTTATAAACTCCCTGTGATCATGTGCTCTTCTGTTGACTGTACAGCTAGTATAGAATGTGTTTTGGGGTTTTTTAAATAAAATAATAGTTTTGAGGTGTTTAATTTCAGTGTTGTATGTTACTGTTGGGTCCCTGCAGGATGACAGCCTTGTGTCTTCCTCTCGTGCATTCACGTCCTCTTCTCCTCTTCCACAGGGAGTGGTTCTTCCTGCTGTCCCATGAAGTCCTGAATCCCATGTACTGCCTGTTTGAGTATGCTGGCAAGAACAACTACTGTCTGCAGATCAACCCAGCATCCTCCATAAACCCCGACCACCTCACGTACTTTCGCTTCATCGGTCGCTTCATCGCTATGGTGAGCAGTATTGAAATCGCACAAAAACACAGTTCTTTTGTTACATCTGAGCCATTTTTTTTCACTTGATCGCCACATACGGCAACATTGTATCCAGATGTGTTTAAAGTGAAACCTCAGTTTAATAAACTGAAGCGACGCTCACGTTGGGAAAGCCAAAATGCAGATGTGATGTAGTTGAGACATTCCTCTATCGTGTTGCGATCTTAGTAATATTGTTACTTTAGCAGCAAAAATGTTTAACTAACCTTTGTGATTAGATGACTGCATTTCTAATCTTTGGTTAGCTAGTTTTGCTCACTGTTTAGAACAGATATCACATATTTTGGATTTTTCCTGAAAGTGCGTCACATAAAAGTCATTCCACAGGCTGTCAGCCGGGAAAGCTCTCGCTCAGAGCAGGTTTCGTTTTGAAGTAGTTTGAAGCATTCATGCACGGCATTCTGGGGTCAACTCAAAAAAATTTGTAGGTCCCAAAGCCGTCACCCTCCACCTTCCCCTCCATCTGCTACCCCACCCCTCACCCACACCATGACTTCACTGCCGCACCCAGCCCACACCCGGCAGCAGCTGCCTATATTTAGCCCTAAACTGCACATTGCTGACTTTCCTCACAAAGATCGTTGTCTCTACCCACTCCCAGCTCCCAAAGCCTCTCTGACTTTATTTCTCGTGTCTTTTCCTTACCTGCTTTGCTCTCACTTCGGTCACCCTCTGCTCTGCTTCCACAGATGCGGTGGGTCAGCAGGACAGGATAGTCTGTGACTGAGTCAGTGAGCGTCTGTGTTGTTCTTGGCTCATCGTAGCTCTGAACTCTCACAGGGTTTTTAACATTAAACAGCTCCGTCTGACTGAGTGTGCTCTCTCTGAAAACACACACACACACACACGAAGGAAAGATTAAGATGTGGTTTGGAGCCGTTTGTGGTCGCTGCACATGTTTATGTCCACGTCTGAGTCTTAATGATTTGCGTTGTTCTTGTGGCTGCAGTGATTTCAGAAATAAAAGCCCCATTCATTTTTTCTGCAAGTGTGATTGGCTGTTAAAGCGTTTCTAACACTTGAATGAGCTCAAAACGGCCCCCGTGTGAATCATCAGCATGGCGCGCGTCCGAGATGAAAATATGTGTAATTTGTCGGGCGTTAATTTGAAACATGTGCAACCAGAGTCCATAAAAAAACACTAATATCGCAGAATTACAGCAGGCCAAAAATAACCTCCCTCTGTCTCTGCTTTGTTACATCCAGGAACTCAAACTTGCGCTATCATCAGCCTAACCCAATTACATTTTATGAAATGTGAGCGGTGAACACCAGGTGGCGTCTCTTATTGTGGTTTCTAATGTAATAAATCCTCCCTGCAGGCTTTGTATCATGGAAAGTTCATCGACACCGGCTTCACGCTGCCTTTCTACAAGCGAATGCTGGACAAGAAACCCACTCTCAAAGACCTGGAGTCGATAGACCCGGAGTTTTATAACTCCATCATGTGGGTCAAGTAAGTAATGCAGTTATGATTCCTCTGAATCTGTGCGCTCTGGCCACCTTATGCTCACAAGGGTAGAGGTTGGCATGTGAGTTAGTTAGTTTTAACTAATAAAAGAAATGAACAGTAGGAGTCCAGGTGAATAGGTCATACTAAGCCAGTTATATCCAAACAACAGAAACCTGGATGCAGGAAGTCTGAAAGTCTTAAAATGCCTCCCAAACCACATTGATATATCAAGTAATTGTTAAATGACTTTTAGTTGACAAACCAGCTAAAAGCTTAGCTGATAAGACTCTGAGATGCTGCTCTGTTACATGTGCTGCTGACAGTGCTGATCACAAACAGTGGAGTAGGAGCGCCCTCAGCTGGACAGACTACAAAATTTATCAGACCACCACCTAATGTGAGGTTTTACTCTAAATTAGGGATGTCAAGGTCATTTTACATCGAGGGCCACATACAGCCCACTTTGATCTGAAGTTGACTGAACAAGTGAAACTCTGTCAGTGTAAAGAAGTTTCAGTACAAATTTAATCCCTGAGATGTCTTGTTATAAGATTAGGAAGTGCAATTTCAACAATACGCCTCAGTTTCTCTACACGATAAATGTGTAAAATTACAGAAAAGGTTCTGGCAGCTGCCCAGCCTGTCCCGTATCTGTAAAACATGAAGTTTTTGTTGATTCACAGCCACTTTTATTCAATTTTATTAAGATACATTTCTAAACATGGTGAACAGAAGCATGTTTATCTGTTGCTACTTTGAGTGATAATGACTCTCAGCAGGAAAATACAGGTAAAAAATTTATGCCCGCCTTTACATTTTCTAAAGGTATCCAGTGGGCCAAATTGCAGTTTTTGCCAGGCCAATTTTGGCCTCTGGGCCTTATGTTTGACACCCCTTCTCTAAATTAACAGTATTAGTAAATACATAAAAAAAATATATATATTTCTGATATTTTTATATTTTATGTATGAACTGCCACATAAAGGAGTTGGTGTCGCAGTTTGTTCCAAGAAGGCTGCTGGATTTAGGTCAGTCTTGCAGGCGACACAGAGAGGACGAGGTGCTAATGTTTTTAGTTTCATTATGTGTGCGTCTGTGTTTTCAGAGAGAACAACCTGGAGGAGTGCGGTGTGGAGCTCTATTTTGCACAGGACATGGAGATCCTCGGGAAGGTTTCCACTCACCAGCTGAAGGACGACGGGGAGAACGAGCTGGTCACCGAGGAGAACAAGGAGGAGTACATCAGGTCAGTAAGCAGAAATGGGGACAGTTGGGCTGATGAAGACGGATGAGCGTAGGAGAAACAAGGTCTGTGGTGGAGAGCAAACCATAAAAAGCAGCCTCTTTGTTCACGCAGCCTGCTGACAGACTGGAGGTTCACCCGCGGGGTGGAGGAGCAAACCAAAGCCTTCCTGGACGGCTTCAACGAGGTGGTGCCTCTGGAGTGGCTTCGCTACTTTGACGAGAAGGAGCTGGAGGTGAGGAAGACTTGTATTTATTGGTGTTTAGGCTTAAAATGTCATGAATCCAGCTGTTAGCAGCTCGTTTTACTTGTGTGTGTCTCCCAGCAAAAATCACACCACGTGAAAACGATGCTTCGTGTTTTGCCTGATCGCACCATCAGGATCCGTGTGACACTGATATTTTGTGAATTCAGTGAAAGCCTGAGGCAGTTTAATCTCACACCATGTACTCAAATAAAGTTATTTGAGTGTAAATGTCTCAACCTTTTACACCATTAGCTTTTCTTTGAGGGATGGACCTCCCTGCACCCTTATTGAGCCGTTTTGACACCTCTTTAGAGATCAGTAAAGACGTGGTGTGACGACCATCAGAATAGTTTCCTGGGTTTTCCCCAATCATAGCTTTAGTGAGCTGTATAGGCACAGACCCTCGCTGACCTCATATGCAAACATTTTGTTCTGGAAGCAGACCTAAAACAACAGAACTCAGAAAAGAGGAACAGAAGGGAAAGAGTTCATGAGCCAAGAGAAAAACCCCCAAAACAAGCTGGTGGGGGGTAAGCTTGGACTTTTTTTTCTTTCTTTCTTTTTTTTTTGAAAAGTCTGAAATCTCATCCGACTTGAGCTGCAGGAGCCCCGTTTATCAGGAGGAAATGTGAGAATTTGGGCTGTAATCAGTAAAGTTTTATAAAGGACGTCAGGGTTCTGTACCACCACATGCAAAAATGTCTCTGAGCACACAGAGTGAAGTCACATGTGAGTAGTTTAAACTCCAAATTTTAAAGTAACCCCCCCGTCTTTGTCCTTTTTGCAGCTGATGCTTTGTGGGATGCAGGAGATCGATTTGGCCGACTGGCAGAAGAACACCATCTACAGACATTACACCAAGAACAGCAAGCAGATCCACTGGTTCTGGCAGGTATGGGCCTGTAAACACACACACCTACCACGCTGATGCTCCTAGGAAAGCGCTGACCTGAGCGTTTTTTCTGCAGGTGGTGAAAGAGATGGACAATGAGAAGAGAATCCGTCTGCTTCAGTTTGTAACGGGAACCTGTCGGCTGCCCGTCGGAGGGTTCTCCGAGCTCATAGGTACTGACTGCGTTTACAGGGACAGGAGTGTCCTGGTTATGAGGATTCTCCTGGTTTTAATACTGTTGTAAATAGATCTCTGCCTTTGCATGGAGGGACCTGTGATGTTTACAGACACTAACAGGAAATTCTCAAGCAATTGTAAGGAAATTGAGCAGACATTTAGCTCCAAACCAAAGTGCTGAAACAAAAGCTTTTCCATGCTGCTCTGGGAGCTGGAAATCCCAGAGCATTTTCATAAGATATAATAAAATTACTCACTTTCTTAATCATCTTCAGTTTGAGTTTCTGCTATGCGAGTCGGCAGCATTCAGCTTCCTGTTCAGGGTTTGAGTTTTGTTTGTGTGTGTGTGTCCTGCAGGAAGTAATGGTCCCCAGAAGTTCTGCATAGACAAAGTGGGGAAGGAGACTTGGCTTCCAAGAAGCCACACATGGTAAGATGCTGCCTCATGTTCTGCTTCTCCGAATCATCCATTTATTCATCGTCTCCCGCTGATCTTATTTAGGGTCGAGGGGGCGGAGCCTGTTCAAGCTGTTATAGGGTAAAAAGCAAGGTGTTTATTGAAGCGCTCCTCTGAAAAACTTAAAAAATAGCCTAAGACTAGCAAGGTTACAAACGAGAAGGACAGCTTTACAAACCTCACAGCGGATCACCTGCCTCCATCACCCTATCCCAACATCCTCCTCTGTCACATCAGTCCCTGCATGTCCTCTTTCCCTCCCACCTGGCAGCTCCCTCTTCCACATCCTGTCTTCAGTATATCCACTATCCATCCTCTGCACTCGTCTCTCTAACTTTGTCTCAGCCTGAGCTTTTCCTCTGATGTACTCGTTTCTAATCCCGCCCACTTAGCTCACTCCCAATGAAATTCTGAACATATTCAGCTCGGCCTCCTGTTATTTTGTCATCATAGCAGCTCTCGCAACAATCTTATGAACCTATCCTTCTGTCATAAATCACCCCTGACACCCATCTCCACCCTGCCTGCACTTTCTTCTTCACCTCTCTCTACTTAAATCACTTTCCTTAGATTACAGTCTTTTCACAGTACAGAGAGCTGCCGCTCTGAGGCTAAAATGAATGTACAAAAAGACATCTGATAGACAGATCAGCAGATTTAACTAAACGTCTTAAAGTGGACTCATTTCACTCAACTTCCAGCTCCAGGTTTTTATTCTGGGACTCTACTAGAGCAGCTTTGCATAATTTAGAATCCTTCTTCATGTTGTAGATGGTCTCTGTGCAGTCCCTCAGGTCATCGTCTGTCTGAAACGAGCAGCTATTCCTGATAAATTCACTTTTTTAAAGTCACATAGTATTCAGAACCTCCCTGACAAGAGTCACATTTTTATGCATGTTTTACCATCTCAGGACCGCCCCTCTGTCACCTTCACCTCCTGGATTAGTATCAGGAGAAGACGCTTGTATCTTAGCTGTAACGCTTCTGCTACATTTCGAAGGGAATTCTCGTTTTAAAGGAGAAAGAAAAAGACAGTTGAAATTTAAGGACGTGGATTCGGACAGGATTTCAGCTACAAAAGTAATTTCAGCTAAAAATACACATGATCTAAAATGAATTAAAGCCACTGAGCAGGGCAGGTAGGATTTAAAACGGTTACTACAGGGGGAAAAAATAAAAATCAGGATTTCACTTCCTCTGTTTGAGCTGTGAGCAGCCTGGGAGCGTTTAAAAAAAATAGATAAATGTCACCCTGAAGTTCCATCTGTAAATCCACGCTGAGGTGTAACTCTGTCTCCTCCTCCTCAGCTTCAATCGTCTGGATCTGCCTCCCTACCGAAGCCTGGAACAGCTCCGAGAGAAGCTCCTGTTCGCCATCGAGGAGACGGAGGGATTTGGACAGGAGTGAGACGAGGAGGCAGAGACGGACGACACTTAAATCGACGAATAGTTTTTTGTTATTGGTCTTATTTTGCGTTTGTTTGTTCATCACAGGGCTGAGGAGTCACCTGTCAGCTAAACAAGCCCTCCCTGGGCGAGGATCATGTTAGTGAGCTAGTGAGCTGAATCATGGGATCAGGCTTGAGGCACAGGAACACAGAAGAGTGAATGCTTACGTGTGTGTGTGTGGGTGGGTGTGTGTGTGGTTGCTCATGTTAATGCCATTGTGTATTTGCATATAAATGGTGTGTATGTGTGTGGATTAAACAGGATGACCACTCCCCCCCCTCCTTACTCACTGCTTAGAACCGCACCAAAACCAGACGACATGATAGTTTTAATGTCAGCAGCGACTCACAGCGACAGCACAGCTACCCGCAAATGCAGTACAACATATCTACCAGAGAGACGTACATTTTAAGCATATTAAAGCAGCGAGACGGCAGCGTGTGAGCGGAAGCTGTTATCGTGAACTAGTGCGCCTCTGTTACAGAGGTCAGAGAGATGAGATGCGATTTTATTTTTTCTGTTGATTGTGAAATTCAGTCGATTTCTCCTGTATATAACTCAAATAAATGAGATTTCAGTCATAAGATGTTTGGGTGAGGCTTTCTTTTTAAAATGCTTAATCCAGTGTGAGTGACGTAGGTTCAGCATTAATTGGTTTACTGTGCCGTGCAAACAATTCGAGCCACCCTTTGTTTCTTTATTATCAGACTTTCTTTTTTAAAGTGCTCTTGAGCAATCGTTCTGCAGGCTTTCTGAAGGTTTTTCACAGCTTTTCTTTGGACACTGGTGGCTTTTTCACTTGAACCTGATCATTTCTTTTGTTTGTTAAGCTACTTGACACCAAACTCTGAGTCATTCAAGAATAAAAAGGCACCAAACTCAACCAGTACCAGACAACTTGGCAAAGAAACATTTTAAATGGTATCTTTAGGCACTTTGGTACTAGGAGCATTTCGCAAAGACACATAATTTGTTCCCATTTCTTTTGTTGAATTTATGAAAAATATCAACGATAACACAGTTTGACAAACACAAGCAAACACTATCAGTCATGGAGTGGCCTCTCCAGAGCTCGGATCTCAATATTATTGAAGCAGTGTGAGATCATTCTGATAGAGGACGGAACAAAAAGGCAGCCGGCTTTCAAACAGGAGCTTTAAATGTCCTTCAAGGAGCTCAGAGAGCTACTCCTGAAGAGTGCTTAAAGAAATGACATGAAAGCAGCCTCAGAGTTCAATCTATGGTGAAGTGTAAAGGTGGTCATCCCAAATATTGACTTTCAGGCCCCTTAGAATTGTACAGAATTGTACTGTTTTTGCCTTATATACTGTATTTCCAGTTGTAAATATGTTTGCACCCATGAGGGGCGGCTTGAGACTTTTGCACAGAAATTACATAATGACTTACAATCATTAAAGTGTATATAACTTCTTTACAGAGGAAAATTCAAATGATGATGGAGGTTAGCAATGTCCAGATGTCAGATTTGAACTTCACAATAACAATACTGTACTGTTGAAGAAAGATGAAATGATAACCTTACTCAAAATGTATTTTTATGTGTGGTTTATGATTAATTCCCCAAAATAGAATATTTATAAAAACATGCTTTGCATAGAAAAATTCACCATGTCACAATTGCTGTCGTGATTGCCATCATTACTGTGTTTAAAAAAATAATCAACGATATTATTGAAATGTTTAGGGAAAATTTAAAAAAACGAACCATCTCTGTAGCTTTGTTTGTGGTTTTTGTTTTAAAAAAAATCAGATAATAAAAAATATTTTAAAGGTGTTTTACACTGATTATCAAGGGTAGCGGTGTCACCTTTTTACTGACAAGTTTCCTGAGACGGCTTGAGGAATGTTGACATATGTTATTTCACTGTCTTTGTAGGGGGGATTACACTCTGCCTGGGCCCCCCAGTTAGAGCTCAGCCCGAAGCAGTTTGAGGTTTGGCCGACTGGGTCACAATAATTGAAAATGCATGTTTGGATGTAACCATGCACGCAAACTTTGAGTGAATCTTCACTCTCAGTCTCCCATTGGCCGTCCAGTTTGTGGCTCTGGGCACAACAGATTATGTCTACAGCGGTGGAAAGACAATAAATTTAGTGAGTACGCTGGAGAGGTTTACTTAATCAGCCCACTGGACACAGGCAAGAGGTAAGGGTGAGGTGGTTTGGTGACGTACAGAAGAGGGTTGGTGGATGTATTGACATAGGGTGCTGAAGAGAGGACTTTTATTGTGAAAGTACCTCTTCCTTTGCTGGGACCGGAAGTAACTTCTCGTTCTCATTCGCCGGAAGTGCACCGGAGTTAGTCGCAGTTCTAAATGAAAATGCCACCTTTGTAGTGTTCGGATGACACCGGGACATTAACGGTGAATTTAATCATATCTGAAATGCCTACAGGTGCTCACATCCGCCTTCCCCGTCGCTTTAATATGGTGAGCGCGGATGAAGTCGCCAAGTTGTGCTACGAGCGTTTCAGTCAGCTTCCCCGCAGAGGGAAGCCTGAGCCGGGCAGAGAGTGGACCCTGCTGGCCGCTGTGCTCCAGATCACCCGCGGAGCTGACTCTCATTCAGGTTGTTCGGCAGGATGGACCAGTCCACTGTTCTGAAACCCCGGTTTCATTCATTTTTTCCCCATTTCTATCAAACGTCAGTGCTAAAAAGACATTTAAAGTTTTCTGAAGATGGGGAAAAAGGCTTTAAATTGTTCTAAATTATGTCCATAATGTATATTTCAGCGGACCTGTAGACACTGATATGAGTGAGGTATAGTGATGCGATATTTTTCTTTTTCCATCACAGTTGCTATGGAGGTTGTTTCTCTGGGAACTGGGACCAAATGTATTGGACAGACCGCCATGAGTCCCACAGGTGTGTGCAGATGGACGTTTTGTGTCTCAGATGCTGAAGGTGTCGATTGTGCAAACCAAATTTTGCTTTCCTTTTTAATTCAGGTGATGTACTTAACGACAGCCACGCAGAGGTCATTGCCAGGAGGGGATGTATCAGGTGTGTGTATGAACCCACCTGTGTCACTGCAGGCTGTTTGACTGTGCTGATTGCTTTATGTATATGTATGCGTTTTTATTTGCAGGTACCTGATCCAGGAGCTGCACGGGGCTGTGAGCGGTCGGGGCAGCTCTGTGTTTTGTGCAGCAGATGAGCGAGGAAAGTGGAAGCTTCGGCCCAGAGTTTCCTTCCTCCTTTTTACCAGCCACACTCCCTGTGAGTGTCAGCACACAGGACAGCGACAATAACGAATACAGTTACACACAGCAGAAAGTAGATGGAAAGAAATCAAACCAGATCTGTGTTGCTCACACAGAGAGTGGCTAGGTTATCAGCTGTAGTTACTGTGAGTTAATGTGAGGTAGTTTGGTAACTTACCCAGTTTAGATTTATTCTGTTTTTTGATTACATAACCCATTCTAGCAGAGTGTAATGAAGGTCTTTATAAATGATAACATGTAATAACTCCTGTTTGTGCCAGAGATGCAAACAAATAGCCTGAAAAGTCTTTCAGCTCTTGAGCTTTGATGCAGAGTTGATATGGCAACAGTTAAATATTCACCACTGATAACATTTAACATCCGCTTATTAAGCAGTAAACCTAAATATTAGTCAGCAGCGGCATTGTTAGCCCATAAATAATAAAGATGCATTTCTGATAAGGATTGTTAATGTTTAACTCTCCAACCTCTTTATGGTAAAATTAGTTCCATGAGATGATGAATAATTGAGGACTTGACATGATTATTCTTGTTTGTGAAGGAAGTCAGTCCAGCCTTTTCATGCAGAGAACAGGGATCATTTGTGATAAAGCACATTGCGCTATAACTGAGACCGGCACAGTTCTGTGGGAACAAAGAGAGAAAGTAATTCTCAAATCATCGTTGCTCACCTGCTTAATCATCTCTGATTTACACGAAACTTTTATGGTCCAAAGTTTGGACACCTGTAATGATTGCTGTGAAATTTCAGCTTTATATATCAAAAACTTCACAATATATATATAGTTTTTAAACAGCAGCACTATATACATATAAACAGTATTAACAGAAAAAAAGTACAATCTGGTGTAAGAAGAAAAAAGTAAAAATGTATTGCACAATGGTTTATAGAGGAAAATGGGAAAAACGTTGCGGCGAAACGTTGAGAAAGCACCGAGTTTTTTAAATGGACTGACAATGAGGTGAAGTTGTTGCTGCGAGTAACGCAAAAGTACAAAGTTGCAAAAGCGAGTGAGAATTAAAGAATTTGAAGAAAAGCTCTCTGGAGCATGTACGGACTGATATTAAGCTTTAATAGGGCTGTCAAAAGTTTTCGCTGTCCACACTGCGACACATAAAGCACCGTTTTCAAATTACGCGTTTTCGAGAGCGTTTTCAAAACGCTGCATTTTCCATGAGCGAGAACGCCGTCTCAGTGTGGACGGGAGGCCAAAACGGAGAGAAAATGATGCGTTTTCAAACTAAAACGCATTAGTGTGGACGTAGCCTTACATTGTAGTATTTGTTATTAGCTGTGAGGCATTTGCAGGCGTTTTCTTTTTTGTTGTCTTTCAGACATATGCATTCTACCTTTAACCATACCTTTATCTATCTTGGCTTTAATCATGCAGAAGTGTGCCCTCATGCCATTTGTTTGTCCGATCTGAAACCAGGTGGCGACGCCTCCATCATCCCCATGACTGACAGCCAGCCTCAGCCCTGCCCTCCTGTCACATCAGTAAAGGGCCATGAACAGACTGATGGAGGAGGAGACCTGAAAAGGAAAGCAGAGGAATCCGGCGAGGAGCGAATCTCTAAGCAGCCTCATCTGGAGGAGACGGCAGAGACAAAGGAAGAGGACAGAGGAGACACAGAACAGCGTGGATCGCTGAACTTTAACAAAACATTGGAAACATCCTCACAAACCAGTATCTCTGCAGTCTTGGCTCAAACTGATGGCACTGGCCTGCATCATCAGGTCTCAGACATTCACAGAACAGGGGCCAAGTGTGTACCGGGTGGCCCAGCTGACCCTCTGCAGCCTGGGGTGGGGTATCACAGTCCGGGCGTTCTCCGGGTAAAGCCCGGCAGAGGAGAGCCAACTCTCTCCCTCTCCTGCAGCGACAAGATGGCCCGCTGGGGGGTGCTGGGCTTCCAGGGTGCACTGCTGTCCCATTACCTACAGGAGGCGCTGTACTTCAGCACCATGGTGGTGGGAAAGTGTCCATATGACCAAGAAGTCATGCAGAGAGCTTTGGTCACAAGGTAATGCTGAACCGGCTGCTTTATATTTTTATTAGTCATGCGCTGTGAAAACTTCACCTAAACAGATACAGAGCCAGTAATCACAACTCGTGATAATAATAAACACCAAATAGAGATATTGAAGGTTTATGTAACAGTTCCAGTCATGACCAGCATGTCAAGGACCCTCCTTGATGTAAAACAACGTTAGGTTCAATTAGAGTAAGCTAAATGCAGCAGATATTAATGAAAGTGAAATGAGTGCAATGACTTCACAGTTCAGTTTGGTTTCTGCCAGAAAAACGACCTGTTTGCAAACAGTTGCCTTTCAATGAACGAAGACACGTCCTCTCCACCAACTCCTGAGAGAAAAAACTGCTAAATGGTGAACTTAATTCTTCAGCTATTTTGCCAACTATCTAAATCATTGAATTCAGGTGTTCTAGTCACTACATGTGGCCTTCAGATTAGCTCAAGAACAGTTTGCAGAGAGCTTCATGGAGTGGGTATCTATGGTGGAGTAGCTGCATCCAAGCCTTACGTCACCAAGTGCAATGCAAAGCATCGGTGCTGTAAAGCATGAGGCCACTGGACTCCAGAACAATGTTGCATGTTCATGCTACCCTGTCTGTAAATGCGACAGACAAGTCTGGGTTTGGCAGTTGCCAGGACAACGGTACCTGTCTGACTGAATTGTGCCATGTGTAAAGTTTGGTGGAGGGCGGCGGTTATGGTGTGGAGTTGTTCTGGAGGAATTGGGCTCGGCCCCTGAATGCCTCAGCACACCAAGACTGTTCCTGTTTGGGGATGGCCTCTTCCTTCTCCAACACGGCTGCACACCAGTGCACAAAGCAAGGTGCATAGAGACATGGATGAGCTAGTTTGGTGTGGAAGAACTTGACTGGCCTGCACAGAATCCTAACCTCAGCCTGACAGAACCCCTTTGGAGCGAATTAGAGTGGAGACCGTGAGCGAAGCCTTGTTGTTTTAAGCAGAAGAGACGAGCTGTTCATCCTTTTGTCTCCTGGGAGACGAGCCTTACAGAAGATTGGATCAAAGAGTTCACATTTGGAATTTTTTTTTTGGGTTTTTCTCTACTCATTTTGTCATGTTTGATTATAAATTGAAGAGGATCTGGATTTCTGTTGTTTTCCTGCTAGATTACAGCTTCCAAAGAATTCCACTGATGTCCTGCAGCTGATAACTTTGAGCAGATTTGGATTTCCCCTGTATTCCTCTGGGATTATTTATGTCAACACGAAACAGAGATAAGTGCATCGTCTCACCTGGATGTGCTCATTATTTGGTCAATCTCTCTCAAAATCAAACAAAACCAGCACTAGCTTAGAGAAGTTTATTGGATACGTATGATTCAAGAGATTTTTTTGGCTCTAGTTCGCTCCTGCTAAATTGCTTTGGTAAAACATCCTGCATTCAAAAAGTCTAAAAGGTGGTGTTAGGTAATATATATATAATCTTAAATGCTTATATGCTGATTATTATTGGTTTATATAAGAGAGGCCCAGACTTCAGTGTAAAACTAGGTTACAGGCTGACCAGAAACTGCATGTTTTTTGTAGAATATGAGGAACCGACAGAGTGAGACTAAGTCTAGACAGGTTGCCCTGGCAACAGACCTTAGAAAGGGGAAGTTATTGCAAGCTGCACAGGAAGTTTTAGTGCACAGGCATATTAATAAATCAGACGCAGAAAAGAGGAACTGAATAGAAGAAGTTTTGTGTGTAATGAAACTGTATGTGACGTCGAGAGGTACATAAATAACCTGGCTTCCTGTTTTCTGCTTGAGACTGGCTGATGTGAGCAAGCATTTCTGTGTGTGCTCATTCTCCATATCTCGGGATATGTAAGATTAAGGATAACTTTTTAAAGTAAAAGACCACTTTTGAGCCGTGTCTTTTTGGCCCTAAGAATCAAAAGAACCGTTTTTAACAGTGGACACTTCCTTTTTAACCTTGTGTGAAACCTCAAAGGTAAAAATCTGCATTTAATTAGAACGTCACTCAGTGGGTTCTTACATGTTACTTTAACCTTAAAAATGAACAGATCCTTGGGGCTTAATTTTCCAAGCTACTGCATTTAAACCAGTCAGTTACCAAGTACACAGATTTAGAGGAGAGCTGGTGGTAATGGGTGTGGCTGAAGAGGAAGCGGGCTTAGCCACCCTGGCAAGCACACCTTCAGGATCAGCATCCGGAGGGCTGAGTACCAGTTTGAGCTGGGTGAGTCTCCTCCCTGGCTCCATCTAAGCTGTGTTTGCCTACTGGGTAATGCTCATGGGATTCAGAGATTAGGGCTTTTAAACAGAGCCAGTTCCAGACCTTCCTGTATTTGGGATTCCTGGTCAAAAATTCCCACTAACACACTCCTACATTCCCAGAAATGTTGAAGCTGGTATAGTTGCAAAGGGTGGGCCAGCATCATATTAAGCCCCATGGATTAAGAATGGGATGTCACTCAAGTTCATATGCACGTGAAAGCAGACGAGCAAATACTTAAGACAGCATAGTGTTCTTGTTGCAGTGTGCATGTTGGACAGGCACCAACTGGTGCTGGTTTAAAAACCACTTCCTTGGGCCGTATAACCAGGATATCTTTCCTTTATCTGCCTTCTGACAGCCTAACATCTGTAATCGGGCTAAGTGGTTACATCAAGGTAGCTGTCAGTTTGTGTGATTATCACTTATTCACACAGACAATGAACTCTTTCACCCATGAAGATAATGCATTTTGACGCCTCAGTATGCAACAATAAAGAACTGCTTTGATATCACTTTAATCATGTGGGAATTTTCTAGCTGCTAAATTCTGTGGAATTTAGTGGAACACCTGCAGCACTGCAGGTGTTAGGCAGTGAATAGTCTTCATCAAATCAGACCACACTCAATTAAATGCAGTGCTTCTGTGCTGTCAGGTGCGCCTGTGTATCGGACCTCCCTGCCGGTTTCGCCGTACGTCCGCCCGAGCTGCTCCAGGCCACGTTGGAGTTTCCTTTCAGCCAAGCCCAAACTGAGCTCCAGCACCAGGCCGGCCAGGGCCGCATCTCCCCCTGCGGGGCAGGTAGGACTGTCCACGTATTCTGCAAATTATTTGTAAGTGCCAAAAAACTAGATGTCAACACTTGACATCAACCATGGACTATCCCTAATATAGTCATCTCAAAGAAGCCACACCCACCTGCAGCTTAGACCTTCTGTTTGTGAGGATCACCCAATCGGGAAATTGCTTTAGTTCCTCCACTTGCTTTAGTGGAGGAACTGAGCATGAGATGAGAAAGGATTTCAGATCAAGAGTATCTGCTAGACTCAGGGTGTCTGCCTCGCTGCAGGCCTCTCTCAGTTTAGGTCCAGTTTGCAGCTGTCTCTTTCTGTTAATGGTATCAGTTTTTTAATAATAATAATAATAATGTATACTTTATTGATCCCCGTGGGGAAATTCCTCTCTGCATTTAACCCATTCACTCAGTGAAGCAGTTTTTACGGTTTCAATTAAAGTTTTAATTGTGTTTAAACTGCTCCAGCACTGAGCTGCAATCTCGGCGTGTATCTGAGGTTTGCTCCCTGTGTTTCAGCCATCAGCTGGTGTAACGTAGCAGAGCAGCCACTAGATGTCACCGCTAACGGCTACAAACACGGAGTCACCAAGAAGGCCCTGGGAACAGCAAAAGCCAGGTAGAACCAATCCACTGTCATCATACATGAGTACCATGTGAGTTTGCTGTGTTCTCAAACATCCCGGCGTGCTTCTCTGATTTCAGGTCTCTTCTGTGCAAATCAGAGCTTTTTCATTCCTTCTTGTCTTTGGTGTCGGCCACCGATCCCTCGGCTCTCCCCGACTCTCTCAGGTAACAAACAATTGGCTCTTTCAGAAACTCGCTGCAGCTTTTGAAAACGCTCCAACGAGAGCTGCAATATTTGAAGAACAGTGCAGCTTCTCTCAGTTTGTGCAACTCTCATTCACATAAAACTACGTGCACCAATCACTAAGGAAATGTTCACATCACTGTGAAATGTTCATTACTGGAAATCGTGTTATGCAATCTGACTGTTACGCTCGTATTAAACAGGTGGGGTTGGTTTGAATTCCTCAGTCTTAGATTTCCAGCCTGCTGTGGGTTAAAATGTTGTGTGTGCACTTTTTCAGACTTGTGTGCTATGCTGCTGCTGATTGGCTTCATGTTTACTGATCACTTTATGAAGTTATCAGGTGATTTTTGATTTTTTTTGTATTAAGCTTTCGTATTAAGGCTTCATCAAGCAGTGACCTTTAGCTTGCACTGGAGCAAGTTATAATCGAGTCTGAAGTGACTGAGCTCAGAGTTAGCAGCTTCTCCAAATCTAAGGCCATGTGGATCTCACATGCACCAGGTTAGGTGGAGAAGGGTGCTGTGTTCTGTTCCTTACCTCACTTTTGGCCATGAGTTCCGGGTAGCGGCTGGACTTCGGCAGGTTTCGGGCTCTCCTTTAGAGATGAGCTGAGGATGTGGTGTCCAGCTGTGAGGAGATTAAAGGGCCAATCCAGGACATGCTGGAGGTACTGTTTCTCTCAGCTGGTGCCTTTGTTCTGCTCTCATTTTGTTACCTGTTAAACTATGGATAAAACCACCACCGTGGTGCAGTCATGCCAGGCTGTTGCCAAATAAAGGACTGTCCAAGGCTGCTGCGGTTTCATGTTGCACTCGACAGGAATCTGTAAGGTTTTTTTCTGTGAAAATTGGTCCTTGCAGTTGAATCCCTGGCTGTGTACTTATATTAAGTCTGTCACACGGCTACTTTGTTTTCATCGTCTTTGTTTTTGGAGATCCTGTCACATAGTGTGCTGTGCTACATTTATGTGGAAGACTGGCTTCAGGATGACAGTAGGTCTCCTGAAAATGAATCTGAGAAAATGAAACTCTGATGACTAACAATGGAGGACAAAGGTCCTTGTGTTTGTCAGAAAACCTGATACGGCCCACACACAACAGACATATTGTAAACACTCAGCTCAGCACAATGACAGGACTTAATGACAAAGGTACGTCCGAGGAGGAGAAACGGCAGACGAAGGAGGAAGTTGCAGCTGAGGGAAATCAATCGTTAATCTGCCTTTTGAGAGCCAGTCCTGATCACTTTATCTACAAGATGTTCTTCTTTACTACAGTGGCTCAAGTAACCACGGTAACCAGCAGATATTTGAACAATCTGTTTCTCCTATCTAACACACAGTAATCCACTTTCTCCCTTTGAATGATGTATTTTGAATCTTTATTACAGAACTTAAACTTCAGCTCATTTTACGTGCTAACAGGTTGTAGCAGCAATCTGCACGAACAGTTTCAGCCAATGGGGTTTTTTTGTACTTCTGTAGTGGTTTAAAAGTAACTTAGAGTAATAATTTTTGCTTCTTGCTTTACATCGAGGATTTTCTTTTCTTACATGTGTCCAGGAAAGCAGAGCTGCAGACCTACTGGGACTACAAGCAGGCCTCCCAGTCGTACCAGCAGGCCTGGCAGCAGCTGCGCAGTCAGGCATTCCCTCTGTGGCCGCGCAGTGACAGAAACCTCCTCCTTTTCCACTGACAACTCACTCTCGACAGGCTTGATGACAAAGCAGCTTTGTTGTAGGAGAAACTCAGAGGTCAAGGGTCGCCCAAGGTTTGACCTTGTGAAACTCGGATTTCAAACATGCTGCAGAGAACAGAAAGGATTGCGGCACCCTTTTAATGAAAGGACAAGCTTGGCTTCTTTAATTTGCGCTGTCTTTTCCTCTCTTCCTGTGTGTGTGTTGGCTCAGCTGGTCTGCAGTGCAGGTTTGCCTCAGCAGGACGCTCTGCGCTGTCACGCTGTTTGAAACTGTTGGTAATGCAGCACACACGATGGCTTATTTTCACAGTGCATGTCGTGGCTCCAGCTGCCTGGTGTTCTTAAAAGCGCACAGCCATTTATACCTGCACAGGAAAACACAGCCTCCAGTCTCACTCCTAGTTTGAATGCGTCCTGCACTAAAAACATGAAGATACTCCTGAAGTCCCAGACTATGTCAAAATTTGGAATCAAAGGAATTGCTTTAGTTGGTTTATCAGGTTGAACTGGCAAATTCTGGGAAAAGCTTTCTAATTTCATCGTAAGGAAACGACCAGCAGTTACTTTCTGGCAGTGGTTTGAACCCTGCAAAAACGTTTTCGCACCAGTTTGTTAACTCGGCATGTGTAGGACACATTGTTGTGAAGAAAAAGGTAAAGCTGCACATTTCTGCACAAACAGTTAGGTCGTTCATTCAGGACCACGGTGCAGGGACAGAGGATCAGTTCAGTTGGTGATGTGGCTCAGCTGATTCCTGCTATTTCCTCTCTGCTAATGACAAACAGCACATGGTGGCTTATGTCCAGGATGCCCTCAATTTTCTCATTCTCATTCTTCAGCGATTTTGAGCTGTTTTCATCACATCCATCGTAGAGATGCAGAGAACTGGGCTGCAGACATCTGATTACATCAGTGCAAGCTCGTCTGTAGCTCAGGGGAAAAATAACCACAGGTTGTGGCATATGGCTGCCTCTCCCTGCACCTGGTTTCTTCCTGGTAAAAGAGAGTTTTTCCTTCCCACTCTCACCAAGTGCTTGCTCATAGAAAGCTGTGTGTTTTCTCTGTATTATTATAGAGTCTTTACCTTTCAATATAAAGCACCTCATTGTGTTTTGTGTGCTGTATTAATAAAATTGAATTAAATTCTTTATATTGTTTTTTTAAATATATGGATAGTTGCATAAATAAACCTGAGGTTAATGCAAGTTTTCGGTTGGATTTTTTTTCCCCTTGGCATGAGGGGATTCATTGTAGTTCTTTTCCATTAGAGAGAAAGCTGATGTTTCCAGAACTGCACAATTCAATAATCAGATGAATAAAAGCACTACAAGCCAAGGGAAAACAATATCAATCATATTTTAGATTCAAGAGAATCTTTTAACAGCTTCATAATTTTAGTCTGTGAGCGTTGGACTAATACAGAAAAAGCAGAGTTTTATATTTGAAGTATTGATTCAGCCCATGAGGTCCGATTAAACAGACCTTACAGGAAAACTGAACCAGGGGCAAACGCTCACTTCTTTAGACACACCTTGACCCCTTTTGCCTTCAGAGGTGCCTTAATTCTGTGTGGCATTAATTCGACAAGGTGCTGGAAACATTTCCTGAAGAAAACCACCCACAGTCACTTAAATCACCCATTCTGATGCCCAGATTAAACTTCAACGGGTCATCTTGACCCTAAATGCACAGTTTCTGCCACGTGAGTGGCTGATTAAGCCAGTAAATGTATCTGGCAGTAGTTAGACTTTAAAGGGTCCATGGCCACGGCCGACTTCGATATCACTGAACCTGAAGAACATGAATATCTGTCACAGATAATGTGGCACACAGTATTTGACAAATATTAGGATAATTTATTTATAAACTCTGACTCAGTAGATTAATGATCACTTCTGTGTATCTATGTGTGAATCTATTCCACTGTGATGTTTCCCAGTTGGAGCTTCGACTTCCAGAGATGCTCCAAATGATTTCAAGAGAATAACTCATGTTATCAGCAAAGACTATGGATTTATTAGAAAGACCAGGGGCTTGAGGGAAATAAATGAGGTGATGCATTTTAAGAGCAACAGTATTTAAAACTGTCCCCTTTAAAAAGAAGTGAGCTTGAACTCTGCTGTAAAGGCGTCGGATTGAAAACTTCATGCTTTTCCAGTAGATTAAGTCTGAAAGGTGAGGGCTAATGAAGTTAATCTACGTTGATGCCTTATAAGACATAAAGTATAAAAAAAACTAGGAAATGTCAGCTTTTGCTGCATGGAGCATTTTTGTGTTACATCTTTTTACAAGCCTGTCAACACGATCAGTGCTCATCATTAAATCTCTAGGTTTTTATTAAAGTGGACGATTCTGCCTTTAATTGTGCGCCTCTTCCTCGGACCCCCTTACATCATCATGTAGTGTTTATGTGTATGAAGCATTAAAAATAGGGACACAGCTGTGAAACTCTACAGTGCAACCACCAAGTCAAAGACCACACCGTAAATTTTACATTAGTTTTTATTGGTCAGGTCTTCCAGCTACCTTCCCTTTATCAGATATCTAAAATTTATTTATGTCTTTAAGATATGTTTTATATTCATACAACACTGATGAAATAAGAATTACCAATGCATATTACACAACATCAGACAGTGAACCAGCTTTGTGGAGCGCAGACATGAAAACTGCAACGAGGTCAAATGATGGGTGGAAACCAGCACCAGAAACTACAGGTGCAACTAAAAGTTCAGCCTCAGAGTCATCCATAGACGCTCTGCAGTGGACGGACAGGTGTAACTTTCAGGTGTGCAAAATGAAGCCAGTGCGAGTCTTAAACCTGCCAGCAGGAGGCATCTCCTCCGGCCATAAGTCTGTGTGTATGAAACATCATCCTTTGGCTCCATTGGTCTTTGAATTTGTTAAACTTTTTAAATACAAGTTTATTATCTCAGTTACAAGCTTGAAGTCATATTGAATGCAACGTGAGAGCTGAGAGATGAAAAGGCTGTGAATGCTTTGCAGACAAACAACACTTTACTTGAAGTTAATGACAAAGCACGGCGCGTCATTTCTAAACGCAGGTTTCGCTCCAGCCATGTTTGCAAGCCTATAAAGCCAAAAATAGAGTGGGACCTCCGTGTTTATTAACCCGATAGTTCTCCCGTTGTTTTAAAATTCATATTTAAATCTCATGACACATTCAGAAAAGATTCTGTTGAATTGTAAGTTTTTCAATCACTTTATGGTGATTGTTTTGTCACATTTTTCATTTTTTAATGCTGTTTTTTTTAATCCTTGCCCCTATAAATATAGTTTTACTTACTTAATTACTTTTTTTAAGTAAAGACCTGAATACATCCTTCAGCCCTGGTTTTAAGTGTGTTTTCTGAGTAGCCAAGACGTTTCCGTTTTAATGACGATTTCATCCTTTCGGCTCTTTACTGTCCATTTTTTGAGCTCCCTAAAGTGAAATGGTGCAATGCACTGAAGTGTAAATCCCAGTTATCACAGCTCATTAATAACACAAAAGACACAGCAGGACTCGCGCAAAACAATTTAATTACAGATCTGTGAATATTCAATTCCCAATCACATTTCATGAGGGATGAGGTTTCCCAGAAGTAAAAATCGCAAATAAATAGCGAGCTCTTTATTATTGTGGTTAATGAGCCCATAATTAAATGTTAAACAGGATTTAAACATAAACGTTCACACGAGTTTAATACAATTCAAATAGCTTTACTTTTTAATTAAATGTCACACAAGGACTCGACTGCACCCAAGACACAGGTAGTAAAAATAAAACACTGAATGCTAAAATTTAAATATTGGATTAGAAAAAGAAAAAAGAGAGAAGTTCACCCACAGCTGTGAACTGCAGTCACCTCCCGGCCGCTCACGCTTGCGCACGCTGGCTAAGACGGTAACGCGACACTCCGGTCATCCATGTTGCACGGTGACAGACCAGCACATGTGCAAATCTGAGTGTGCAGTGACAACAAAGTTGGCAGGAACATGAAACTCTCAGTGCTAAATATACACCGCAGCTGAGTGTGAGCAGCTTTAATTTCCCGCTCAACCATAAATCGATGGTTTTTCAACGTGATTGTTGTCACCTTGTCAACTATAAATAGATCAACAACCAACGATGACAGAACAACAGTGAATCAATGTTATTTCAATGTCAGTGTCAGGTTTCATCGGTATTTCAATGTTGTTTCAACATTGGTTTTGTGTTGACATTTCCATCCTGACGATTCTGATGGTTCAGATGGAAAATCAACATCTGTTCAGTGTCTCCTTGCTATCTGGGTGCGGTCAATATGTTTGACTTGTACCATTACATCATTTATATTTAGCTAAACTCATTCACAGGTTATTATGAATCAGGGGGAATCAGAAGACTGTTGGAATATTTTATTAGTGCTGTCAGTGTAATATTCATAGAATAACTCCCACTGAACATTTCAGAACTTAATGGGTTTGAACAGAAATGTTACATTTTTAAAAGTTCAGTGAATTAATAATAATAAATAACGAGGCTTCGGTTGTTTGTGTCTCTAAATTGAGGAAATATTCATTAAGGTTTTATTAATTATAAGGTTGTTTTGTCATTAATTGTATTTTGTTTATATGTTGTTGTTTTTTCTGACGGTATTTTAAAACTTCAAGTAAAGTGTTGGATTTTTTGAAGCAGTTCAATGAATTCGTGTTTATCCAGCACAACATCCTGTGCCGAGAGACTACCGTCGGGCTGGGGCAGTCTCGGTAACATCCCGAGGAGTGGCGCCGGCTAACATTCACGTGCTTATGATCAACCTTCAAGCCTATCCTGGGCCTTCTAACGAGTATCTTTTGTCTTGTGGTGAACATTTCATACATGATATGATGAGCAATACAAAGAATGCGGGTAAGTATTCTAGTCACAGGATTACTGCGTCTCTTTCTCACTTCCACTGAACATAAATATCTGTGACAACAAATAAAATGGAGCATGACTGTGTCACATAATGATTGGTTTGTGCATGCGTGTGTGTGTGTGTGTGTTTATTAACAGTGCCAGGATGATGAATGGTATCTGAAGTGGCTTTAATGTACATGACTGTTATTCAGATTCGCGGCAGTGTTAAGATAATTCTCTCAGTAACTGGCCTTGAAATGGAGATCATGATAAAGTTCAGCGTTTGTTTGTTTGTTTGTTTTTTACATCATCCAAGCATCTGGGGAAAAAAGTTTGTTTATTGTAGCAAACTCGCATCATAAATGAGCAGTTTTAAGTATCAAAAGCTGATCAGAAATGCGAGTGCCAAATGTGTAGGTGCGTTACCTGTGTAACACATGTAAAGGCCAATTTCTGAAGCACTATGCACCAGTATATGTTAAGCCCTAATGTGTCGGTGTGTTTGGGGTTTTGTGTGTGTGTGTGTGTGTGTGTGTGTGTGTGTGCAAGCGTGTGAGAGAGAAACTAGTAATCAGTTATGCATTAACCCTGTGCTGTATAAAAGGCCTTGTAACCAAAGGTGTTTTCTCCGCTGTAGGCCACGTACAGAAAGCCGTCCTCGTCCTTCTCCTTGTCGTACAGCTGGCCCATCGTCAGACTGAAACACAGTAAAAACCGAATAGTTAGATGATGCACAAAACAGAGTCAGTCATGTCTACAGGCTTTACCTAAAGACAGATTCGACACCATTGCATTACTGCGCCGAGTGTTTATGCCACCTTCATCTTTTTGTTTTGAGAGGTCATGAGTGTGAGCTTCTGAATAACATGCTGGAAGACGGCTATCGGATATCCTGGTTTCTGACTCATATCATGACCATAATTATTAAATTAAATTTAGGTTTTACTCAGTATCACTTCAAACTACTTTGAGTTAGCCCATTAAGTAATCAGGAACGTGAAGTCGCAGAGCAAAGAACCTCAGGAGTCGCCCCCTGCTGGCAATTAAAACAAATGCATATTGTGGAATAGATTCACTTTTAGGCCAACACCGTATAAAAAAAGGCCTGGGCAACAAACACATTACACCGACAGAAGCTCCTCGGCCTTGGAAACCCGTATCATTAAGCTCCTGGTGCACAGTTAATGTGCTGATGCCACAGGACTGAAATTCAATGAGACTGAAAACCGGATTCAGAAGCTGAGCCTGAGGTGTGGCCCAATACTAGCTATGTGCATTCTTTATATACAGTGCACATGTAACAGAGTCATAAATAACATTGTTATAATTACACAAAATGTGTTCTAAACCCCAAACTTCTTCTTTTATACCTGACTTTTAGGACCTCCAAGCCTGTAGTTGTGTTCATTATCAGTTAGAGCCCCTCCTCATTCTTTTCTTCTTCTTTGGTGCAATACTATAAATACAGTGTACCCCTTTTGCCTCTCCCCTTTTTCTACAATTCCCCTGTGGGAGAGGTGGGTGTCATTTCTTTCCAGCACCTTAAAGCACACATAATTCATATTTAACCACCCTGATGTTTATGATTGCGATTTTAATTCAGTTATTGTCATTATTGAGCCTGTTTTTGTAAGATGTTATAAGTGTGTGGTATGTGTGTGTCATAAATGTGTTTTAGGCGCCATAAATGATAGCATGAATATGTATTCCTTGCTAGCTTGGGAGCTGTGGTGGGTTGAGCTAATCCTCTTCCCCACTGTCTGTATTTGGTCGTAGGAGCTGGAGTGGGCAAATTATTTACTTGGAGGTCTTTCTTTCTTTTACCTTTTTTATCAGGTATGTCAGATTTCATGTTGTTTTTGTTTTATCTTATGTCAAATATGTTACGTGTAAATGCATATTTTATGTTTAATGTAAAAATAAATGCCACCCCTTTTTCTACAATTCCCCTGTGGGAGAGGAGCTGGAGTGGGCAAATTATTTACTTGGAGGTCTTTCTTTCTTTTACCTTTTTTATCAGACACAACGCAGAATCACACCGGTTACACACAGATATATCAAAATCCTTCTTGAAGCAACTCTCACCACTCTATAGTGACCTTGGTAATTCCACCCAGCAGTTATTTGGGCAGCTCCACCCTTTAAATGGAGGAACAGATATAAAAGTAATTTGAAACTGTAATCTAAGTACCAGGATTTAACTGCATGTACTGAGATTTTGTAGACACAAGTTGATATGTGATGATAACTTGTCTGTGGTTTTGGGCATTTGACAATCATTCTAGCAAATGTTCCTCCTCAGGGTTCATGCGGGAGATCTGTGGATAGACCCACTGCCAACCCAAAAGGGCAAACCTGCTATGGGCTAGCCTAGTTTAACCCTCAAGGCCCAGATCGTGGTTTTCTGTGGGGAACCAATGATGGGTTTGCCTGCAGAAAACCTGCACTTTTCACACTGTTCAAAGTTAAACTGCAGAAGCAGAACTGCAGACCGTGTGCCTTTAAAAGTAAAAGTTAGCTGCAGCGTTTACTTTAAAGGTGGGAACTGCGTCGATTTTACAACAACAACAACTAGTAATTACTGAGAATTACCTGGGAAATCTGCCAACCAGTCTAGCATTGCACATTTCCTTAGCAACCAGTGGTTATGTCATGTCAAATATGACAAAGACCTGAGCAATGTTAAGCCCTACTGTGTCGGTGTGTCTAAATTTCATTAGACTCACTGTCAAATCTGATAAAAACTACAGGCCGTCTGTTTAATACCTTCAATGGGAGCGTGAGGTTGAGAGCTCAGCGATTACAGCCAGATGCATGTTTTTGCAACATGAACATGAACATTCCTCACAACAGCTGATTTACGTGTGGAATAAATTCCTCATAAAAAATGAATTTAAGTTTTAAAAATAAAAAAGAGCCGCTAGTGGTTCTTCCTTCTGGTTCCATTTATCAAAGCTGTGGACTGTAGGAGCTGTGCTTCTGAAACATCTTTGACATCCTCTTGCTAAACAACTACTTGGAGCAACCACATCAGTAGAGACGATGCCAAAAAACGTTGTCCCAGAGCCAGTCTTTTTTGTGGAACTGGTTCTAGATTTGGCTCCAGCATTATTGCTTTGTTAGTGAAGAGGTGGCATACGTGCTGTGGCTAGACTTTAATAAGGAGAGCAGTATCAGCGTGCTACAAAGCACTCAGAAGCAGATTCCTTTGATAAGCCGCCTCTCTCTGATCCCATCCCGTCCCGCCTCCACCAGTCAGAGCAGATGGCTGCACCTACTTGTTTCTGATGGACACTTCTTCCTGTTAACAGGGAGTTTGCCCTCCCCACTTTTGTCAACTGCTTCCTGATAGGGTCCCTTGTGATTGCTGGGGTTTCTTTCTAATAATGCAGGGTTTTAGCCTCACAATATGAAGCACAATGAAGTGACTTTTGTTAGAAATTGGTGCTATATAAGTAAAACCGGATTTAATTGAATAAACGACGAATAGATGAGAGACTTTCATGCTGCCTTATGAAAGAAAGTACAGGAGCATAAAGAGCATAAAACAGCTTCTTCCCATCGACCATCAGGCTACTCAACACTCACACCTAGAAAACTGCTGATCCCTGTGCAATATCTACCTTAAGTGCAAAGCACTATAGTAAAAATAATATATGGTGGAGAGTGATGTGTCATGATTTATAAGATGAATCATCATGAACATAATTCAATGACCACTAACAATTACGGTGGACAATAACACGTCCACGTTAAGTTGCGCTGATGAACTGAATTATTTAACATTAGCTTCACCACTACGTGAGCTACCTGGATATTCTTTGCCTCTCTGAAAGGACTGTGACAGCGAGCTCTGTCTGTCTGGGTCAATTTGAGGAATTTACATACACATTACCTCCTCTCTTCATTTCTTGTGCTTTTTCATGGTCTTTTATGGTTGATGGTGTAGCCACAGAAGAGAATTTTCTTCGAATACATACAGTATCACTGTTTTTAGTATTTACAGCTGTTTAGTGCCGGTAGGACACGTGACCCAAGGGCAACTAAACACAGGACAGCAAAGTGTCCAAAGAGGAGCAGTGTTTACACAGACATGACTTCTTTCTGGTGAATGGGAGCAACGCACAGAACTTAGAGGAGAGAAACAAAGTATCGACGCTATCGCACTAATATTGCTCCAATACCAATACCAGCGCTGGTATCGATACTACCGATATTTGGATCGATCCACCCTTGACGCCCCCACCCCTTCTATAATATTCACCTACCTCTATTATTTCCATCTATTCCACTGTTTACCCATACCATTGATAAAGCTGCTAACATTAGGATTAGCCCCTATGTACTTGGTGTTTTAAATTATGATAATATATTACTCTTTTATTCTTGTTCATGTTTGTCTGTATACACCAAGTTCAGCTGTGCTTCCAGTTTCTTTGTTTACTTAACCTTACAACAACCATGAAGCTTATTCCATCTTAAAACTGGTGAAAGTTTTGATTGAGGTGAAAGTGTAGCTTCAGACTCAAATGGAGCTGGATAAGAAATACTTCTACATACGATCCTGCTCATCAGTTACACAAGATGAATGGTTAAACACATTTTAGGTAACACACAGTGCGCACATTACAGCTTTGATAACGTCAGGCTGTTGATCCAGGGTAAAATGTGGCTAACAGATTTTAAACATATTTATTTTTATGTATTTATTGCAGAAATTTTGCTGTAACTATGTAATGAATTCTGGCGATATGGCCAAAAACCACTAAACTCGAATCAGTTAATTCTTGGTTCCCAGGAGACATCTGAGTGAGGAGAACAGATGCTAAAAAAATCAACGTAACTCACATTTCTTTCTTAAGCTACAACTACAGAGTACAATTCATGCAATTCAAAGTAAATATTAACAATATACAGCATAAATATTTATTTCAAAGGTATTGTTAAACTCAAAAAAAGTTCAAATCATCTAACACATTTACATTCAATAAAATTATCGAGAAGAATGAGTTGGCACAAGGTTTTTTGGTCTCTGTGGTGCACACTCATGAGTTTGACCTTTAAATCTACTGACTTGCTGCAGAACGCAGCGCACTCTCACCTGGACTGGGGGACCGTTTTGTCAACGAAGAGGAAGATGGCTTTCTCTGAAGGCAGCTGGATGCGTTTCCTGATGATCCACATGAACTGGGCCACAGTGATGTCAGAGGGCACCAGGTACTTCCTCTTATCTATGTCCACTATCTGAGAGCCAGAAACCTTCTCCACTATCACCTGGAGTGCACACATTAACAGACAAATGCATTCTTACACACTGTGGTCATGCTGTGTGTGGGCCACAAATCTCCCAATACTGTAGCAAACACCTGCACTCCCTATCTGAAAGCTTCTGGCTGACCATTAAGCTTAGCCTTACAATAATGTCTGTGAGTGAAGTTGTAAGAACATATGTCACCAGTAAGCCCTCAGCAGCAAGGTACTTGTAAGGTTTTAAGGTGCGTCACAATCCATGGCTGATAGTCCTTCTTCTATCCACGCATGTTTTTATTGCATTTGCAATTTTCACTGGCTGAATGCAACACCAAACGTCACAGAGCCATAACTGTGGCCCATCCCAGCTGCCATAGTGCGAGAGGTAGAGTGTGCCCAGGTTGTCGCTGCGTCTGTGACGCACAACATCATTAAAGGATTCAGACAAAGGAGGGAAAATCCCACTGCACAAGGGACAAGGCTGAAAACTAATTTTAAATTTTGATCTCTGGGGTCCTCATGTTCTACTGCATTAGAGACAGACATTGCTCTCTATAGTAATCACTGCATGGGCTTAGGAATACATTAGTAAACCATGGTCAATGGAAAAAATAGACAAACTGAACAGACCTAGGCACTCTGCTGGGGCCTAACTTAATTAAGACAGACTGAGGAGAAATGGAAAGTTGTCCTGTGGTCATTTTCTGCCCGGATAGGCAGAAGAAAATGGATGGTGGTCTGGTCAATCAGAATCTCAAATTCTTTATGGAAACCGTGAATGTTGCATCCTCCAGGCTAAAGATGAGAAGGACCATCCTTCTTGCTACGGGCCTACAGCTCTGCTTATTTAAACAATGCCAGAGGACTGCACATTTACCCAATCCTGATGTGAATTTAGCAGGTTTTGGGTGACTGCCCTCCCCACAACTCACCGGTACTCTGTCAGGATATTTGTTGCGTATTTTGGCTGACTCCACACATCGGTGCTCTGAAGGAGAGACAGGAAACAAACAGGAAGTCAGAGATTAAAGGGCTGAGCGAGGCCTCTTGGGATTCCTCTGGCCTTTCAAGCCAAGGCTAGTCAGATATATCGGCTCAAATGCACATTCAAGCACAGCATTAAGGTTGACTGCAGTTTACGCAGACAGAGCGGCGGATGCCTTCTAACATCAACTCACAGTGTGATCATGTGTGTTAAAGTGGACACTTAAAGGCATTACTGTCACAGATCAGTAGTAAGTCACATCAGCAGCTTTTATTAAGTGATTATTATATCAGGAGGAGGAAAGAGCATCTATTGGAGGAAAGACTGCATGCAGCAGGGAAAACAATGAACAGAGGTCAGAGAGGATGAGGTGATGGGTGAGAAGATGTGTGCTTCATTTAGGTGCACACTTTCATTAGCCCAGTTAAGAGGCCTACTTTTGCTGTGTGTTTCTTTAAAAAGGAACTTCGAGATTATCTGAAGAGAGTATGGAGACAAAGGCTGAGGAGCAAAGCCGTTCCAGCAATCTAAATTTGGAGAGAACTTTACACCAAACTCAGTTCCAAATTCTGGCACATTATTAATAAACATAATAACACTTACACTGTTTGTGTTAGGTGTTACCAGCTCTGAATCACTGAGGAAGCCCTCTTCAGTACCCATTTAAGTTATAAGGCCTAGTTAAATAGACCCTGGAGGGGGTTACCCAGCAGCATGAACCAACACAAAAAGTTGTAGCCCTACTGCATACAGCCGAATTTGCCACAACAGTCCCTGACAGCCCTTAATCATGTTATTACCACAGGGTTTTAAGTAGTGATTACATATAGGCAAAGCAACATTAAATTGTGGGATTTTAAATGCATTTTGGTTAAGAACATGCATGCAGTGGAAAAACACATTTCGGGGTAGGATTGATTAGATGCATCAGGGATATGAAAGGTGAGCCGGATTTTGACAGCGGTCATAACACTTGCAAGAATAATCTTAGCATTAGTTGCTAGCCATGCAGCATCAGCCATCATGGATTTATATGCTGAGGCAAGCAATACATTTCTACACCTATATGGGATGAGATGGCAACAATGGATGCGGAGAAAAAGACAGAACGGAGGGTGCGTGACATGACAAGATCTCTCGTTTCATAACAATCCAAACCCCTTTACCGAGGGAATGGTCCTCTTTAAACATCCATTTCATCTTTGCTGGATCCCCGCACTGACGCGTGACGGCAGGGTCGAAAGGCGGGCTTCTGAATCTGCGGATAATGTCCAAAAATCCAGACAAAAGCGGTCAAAACAAAACGTCAACAACCCCGCTGAGCCAGGAGCTTTCAGCTGTCCGTCTATCAGGGAGGTGACGTCACTGTCTGACACAGGGGAGGTGCTGATGGTTTTGGTGCTGCCTTCAAGTGCTCTCAGTCCAGCTACGAATGCAAGGGTGTCAACCATAAGGTCCGGGGCCATCTTCGGCCGGGCAAAGAGTGTAATCAGGCACATTGGGGGGTTTTGGAAAATGTGAAAGATGACAAATATTGGACTTTTAACTGTATTTTCATACCTTTTACAGCTTTTCCCACCTCATAGCCATTCATAACAAAGTAATTAAGTAACAAATAAGCAATTAAATGATGCTCTACTAGAGCAATTTATTGATTTGCAAAAAGTCCACAGACAAAAAATTAAAAAAAAAAATTAACAACTAAAACTTTCTGTTATATAATTACAGAACAGTCTGGGCAATGAGATAGCAGAATTGCTTCTCTAATTTTACACATGTATTTTTTTTTTACAACATAAGCCCAGAATCATTAAGGCTGGTGTTACTTTTTCACTAACTACAGTACAAAACGTTATCATGTAGAAAAACCGATTTGGACTGTAAATGTGCAGTTAAACCTCTGGTCAATGACAATAAGCAGAGTTTCACTCATCTGGCCCACTTAAGATCAAAGTGGTCTGCATGTGGGCCACAATGTAAAATGAATTTGACATCGGTGTTAATGCATAATGAACCCATCCAACCATCCATAATAATAATAATAATAATAATAATAATAACAAACACAAAATTATCTTTAATGATGATTTATTTTCTATTGTGTACAATTATATATTATGTAGCAATTAATATCTTATTTTAAGATGAAACTACCACACAGAATTTCATTATGTGACTGCATAGTGAAAAATAAAGAATATTTAGATTGGCATGTAAAGGGAAAATGCAAAATGAACAGAAAGTGATAGAAAAAACCCAACAGACACGTGTTTGCAGACATACCCAACTGAAAACATAGGCAAATACAGGAAGTGGCCTGAAACGGGTGCAAATTGACGAGATGCAAAAAGACACAAAGTAAGAGACACAAAACCTCCTCAAAGAGAAACTAAAAATAATCAGAGACCCCCTATCCTCAAAAAGATTGAAAAAAAAAAACCCGCAAACAACTTGAAACAGACACAAAAAGGGCCGCAAGCGAAGCAAACTGATGAAAACGGTGATGAAATTATTCAAAAGTCAAAATTACAAGAAATAAATGCACAATAACCACAAAAATATAGAATCCCTGCCTGTAATGCGTTTCTGCTTCTGTACACGTTTTGTGTGTGTGGTGTGTGTGTGTGTGTGGTGTGTGTGTGTGTGTGTGGTGTGTGTGCTCCTCACGTGCTGGTATCGCGTGAATGCAGCACAAACGCGAACACTGGCGCCATGGTAACCGCCAGACGCTAAGCTAGGAAGGAACATGGCGCGGTACTTGGTGCTAACATAAATAGCATGTTAATTCGCTGTGTTTTGACCAGTGCCCTACTAGACTCACTTCATTACGGAAGCGGTTAGATGACTAAGGGATAATTTGTGGTTGCTTAGCATTTTATTGTCGGTTTGCCCACGCTGATCCTCCGAGGGCTTTCCGTCGGTTTAGCATCTTTGCTATCTGGAAGACTGAGCTGTTTATACCTCCAGCACACTTATGGCTTTCTATGAGGTGTACTCTCACCCGGCTTTGATTCGGTACAAAACGAGCGTGTGCACGAAAGCCACGCTGTTCCTGGTTGTGGTTCTGTGCCTCACCTACATCCCGCCTCTGCTGGTTGCTTACAGGAGCCAAGGTACATTTACGGTCCAGAAACTCTACATGCGCTCTAAAAACTACACCCTTTAACAGCAACACATGCCACGCTAATAGAAGCAAAATATTTGTTTGCACGTCACTCATGGAAAACACCCGGGTTGCGCCACGCCATGGAATTTCATAGATAGATTTTGCTGGTAAGGCAAAATCCAGTGGCACTTCCTCTATTCTCCCAAGTCTGCTAGGTATCAAAGCATGGGACAAGCCATGAAGTTTTAAATTACATTTATAAAACTCCCGATTGAAGCTTTTATACACCTATTAAGATTCATTTTGCACTATCAGACTTCATTTATCTCTGTCAGGAATCACAGGCTCCCTGTTTCTCTTATTGCTCTCGTATGACTGTGAAACATGTTAAAACGCTTAATTCATGTCTGCTTAAACAGAAACACATAGAAAGCATTGTACGTGGTTGTTTGATTGGCAGTAATTATTTTCACGTTTATTATTACAACTGATAAGCAAGTGGTTGGTGGTGTCCATGTGTAAATGACAACAGAGTTGAAAACAGAAGCCTTCAGTGACATCATCAAGCTGCTTCTGTTTTCTAAATGAGGATAATTTAAGAAATGTATTTTAGTATTATTTTCACTGACTTTGAATACAGCATGGTTGTTGGAGCCAGACCAGCTGTTTTGGGTCTTTCAGAAACTGCTGATTTACCGGAATTTACTGGGATTTCCCCACACAAAAATCTCAACTCCAGTCTCTTGACCTCCAAGGAGTGGTCCAGCAATTCATTTATTTATTTATTTATTTCAAATAGGTGCTAGTCTGATTTATTTTGCATATGTCTGTAATTACACCAAGTAAGTAGTTGTAGAAACTGAACAGTTTGAGTGGTACAAATACATGCTCCTTGTTCTCAAACTTGTTTTTAATTTTAGGTTTTTGGATAAAAAGGAGCACTTATGAGGAACAGCCAGTTGTGAGATTCCAGTATCAGACTCTGCTTGTTGCAGCAACCAGTACTAGGGGAGAATATGTCGCCTGGAGCACCTTCCCCCAACTTAACAACATGCTAGGAGCCAACCTCCGGATTCCTGCTGTCACTGTAAGAATGTGTTCACAACACGCCACTCAAATCAGCACGGTGCTTATGTTCTCTGGTAACAAACTACAGCAGAATCGATCCTGTTTTAATAGAAGACATGATATTTAAGTAATGAACTAAAGCACTGTGTTCACAGTTGAGTTTTTTGAGCAGATGACTGGATTGGATTAGATGAGATTAGACAGGTGATTAGAGTTTATGCTGAAATCAGAATTTAGAAGTAAGAAACTTGGCCGTGGTGTAAGCTTCATTTTCGTGCTCATTCTGTGTATTTGTGAATGGTGCTTGTGACCAAAGTAGCTGTTAGTGAGTGCATCAGTGTTTTTCATCAGTAGGACCCAAGCAGCAACTTATGGGGCTGAGAAATGAACATGCAGTTCCCTGATTCCCTTTTGGGGCCTTCTCAAAGAGTAAGGGAGTCTCCATAGACTCCCATTTAGTGCTGTGGGGAGTTTTTGTCAATGTCACAAGGTTGCTGTTAAATTTCGTTTATGTGGCTGAGCCGTTAGCTTGCTTTGAATTAGGAGGCAGCTTTGTTAAGGCGAGTGTGTCCAGTGAAGCAATGTTTTTCAGGTGGGCCAGTTAAATGTAAATTTTGCTCGTTTATCTCAGGATGGTGGTGCATGAGATGCAGCTTCTTGTTCTTGTTTTTAGTGATTATTAAATTTATTTAATACAATATCAATATTTGGTGTCCCCACGTTGATACAAAACTGCCTCACAAAATCAGTCAGTATAGAATAGCTGCAGATTTTGGCATTTATGTATTGGTTTAATATTTTTCAGCTCCAATACGAACTTGTAATAAATGTACAAAACATTAGGTAAGTCTGCATTGTACCATCACAAAAGTACCGAAAGGCCTCACATGGCAATTACTTTAATTTTCTTATTTCATACAATAATTAATGATTTCACTGTGTGTAATACATTAGAAATGTCAATTATGTTATTTTTCCTCGTAGTCCAGTTGCTCAGTGAGCAGTTTGAGTTTACTGTCATTGAAAGCTGGAAAACGTATTAAGTAGCGAGCCCTGGTTTAAAAAAGTGTCCGTTCCTGCATAATAAACATCATGTTTGTACTGAACAGTGGACAGATATGATTTTTTTTACTTTTAATAACAGTAGAGTCTGCTTTGTTCTTCTGTGACTGCACTTTGCAGGTGAGAGAAGAGGACCAGAACCAGGATGGGAAACTGGACCTCCTGGTCTTTCAGCTGCAGCTTCCTCTGAAACCCAATGAGCAGGTGTACAGCATTCAGCTGCTGCTCACCTTCAGCTACCAGCTCTTTGTATGTATCCCACAGCATTACCCACTCGCACAGACACTCCATGAATCTGTTAAGCTAGTTAGTGCAAATTAAAGGTTGCACATTGGGCCATAAATAACATGGTTCACCACTAAAGATGCTCCAAAAAGGCACCAACAGCAATAAGATGGCCAAGAGGTCCACGTTACTGGACTTTAGATAGTTTAGGTTTGACCTTTCCTCCGTAGGAAACACCTTTTCATCAGACAAGGCTTTCTACTAACTTTAAACCTGAGAAGGAGCCATAAAAGTTTATTTCTTTCACTTACGAAACTAATGTTATGAACGTGATAAAACTTGTGAGGTAATGGTGGGGCTGGAGCTAAGAGGCACAGATCACCACGTGATTTTTATCAGTTTTAGTAGCTTTGGGGATTTTTTAAAAGCCTTTTAAGCAGTTTTAAATGTCAATATTTCTCTCACTCTGCCTGCTAAAAATAGAATTAAAGCTGCAAGCAGCGACGAGAGGGCCCCCGCACCCTGGCGTATATCCAGGTGCGCTGCGGGCATAGGTGTCCATGCTGGACACCTATGCCACTAGGTGGCGATGGAGAATACCATCTAAAGATCTCTGAAGCATATCAGACGTTGAACCACAAGTGAAGACGGGAAATAACCTACTGTGTATTTCCTGTCTCCACTAGGTGGCGCCATAAGTGTGACCTAATATTGGCACACAGATGTCTCTAGACTCGCATTGAAGCTGTGAAGTTTGGGACATACTGGACGATGTTTAGCTGAGATTTGACAATGTCGTGTCCTGTGGCGAATGAGTGAAAATTAGCGTGCCGCCAGGACCACGCCTTTTCGTGAAAATTCAAAAGCTTTGCAATTTAACATCACCGAAGCCTTTAGATTGTACTCACCAAAGCTCATGTAGATCTGAT